TAATATATCAGCCAAAATATAATGTATCGTTATAATAGCCACATATCAGTTTCTGCTTTACTCTTTCAAAGCCGCTGATATCTGGGCTGAATCATTCTCATTGCTTGCACTGACATGCTGCTTGAAAGCAATGTTTCTTTTGTCGTCCTGTGCTCTATTATTTTGCTGGAGTTGATGTAGAAGCAGCGATAAGCATTTGGACGCTCATCAAACCCTAAATCCCTTTTCCCGTAAGTCGCCGGCCCTCCAGAACCCAGCAGTTGATTCACAACACTGCTATTGAAGCGGCTTCATCTGGCAGTATCCGTTTAAATACCATGGAGTTTAAAACACACTAAATTAAATGAATCAATAAATATGCAATGAAAATATTAAATGTCATGCAATACATAAATAAAAAGTGCAATGAAATGTAGGTGTAAATAAAAATAAGGCATGAAATATCAAATGAAATAAAATGAAGCAGACATTATAAAACAAATCAGTATATCACAAAATAACTGAATACATAATGAAATGTTTCAAACAAATATATATATAAGCGTATTAAAACATTGGGTGTTAAATATATGTATTTATGTAACTGTGACCTGAAAAACAATATGAAAAATAAATTAAAAAACGCTACTTTTACCTATCAAAGTCTCAGGCTAAGAGTCTAAATTAATGCTTTTTTAAGTAGAAAATTAGCTAAATGATTGATAAAGTTTTTAATTGGGAAATTTAATGACATTTCATGTCTTTTTTTATGTTACATGAAAAAAATAAATGTATTTTATGTCTTGTTTATTGATGCTTACATTTCACTATATACGTTTATTTATTGCAACATTCCATGACATATTTGTAATTTCATTATATTTATTTGATATTGTTTTTAGTTTTTTTTTTGTTTGTTTTAAAACAATTAGTGTAATGCATTAAATTTGAACTGATACATTTATGCTAATGCAATTAAAAATACTAGAAAATAACATGCTAGAAGTTACTATATAAAAAATATACTGTAACAATAAAGATTGAACAATTCAATAAAGCAATTCAAGATGTAAGAGTAAATATAAATTTAGGAGAGCGTGTTCGGTTCATTAGTAGTAAAGTTGCATTGCGCAATGCAAAAAAACAAAAACAAAAGAGAAACCAGCACTGTAATTATGCATCAGGCAACACTGTTTGCAAAAGCAGTTTGTTACTGTAACAGCTGCACTATTTTCAACAGCTGCACTACCGTCACGCTACACTGACTAATGTAGGTGAGTTAGTAGCGTGGCTACTTTTAGTTGCAGACCCTCCAACACTGTCCCGCGGATCTCCTACATCAGGATGTGCGGCAGACGAGCGCTTTCCTTCACACACGAGTAAATGAAGCCGATCACAGTAAACGAGATGAGTGTTGCCTATGAACAGACGTTTGGCTCGTGATCAAAAAGTCTCTTTACATTGGCGTGTCGGCGTGAAGTGCTCATCTCATCTATTTCTGTGCCCTATAATGCCTGAAATTGACCACAGCGTGGGTGTGTAAATTTGTATTTTATCCAAAACTGCTGATGTCTTTATTTAACTCTGCTGTGTACACACACACAGACGCACACAAACACACACACAAACAGACACACACACACACACACACACTCACAGACACACACTCACACACACACGCTCAGACACACAGACACACTCACAGACACACACACTCACACAGAAACACTCACAGACACACACTCACACACACACACTCAGACACACAGACACACTCACAGACACACACACACACACTCACACAGACACACTCAACACTCACAAACACACACACACACTCACACACACACACTCTCACACACACAAACACTCACACACACAAACACTCACACACACACAGACACACATTTTATTTTTCAGGATTCACAGATGAACAGAAAGTTCAAAAGAACAGCATTTATCTGAAATAGAAATCTTTTGTAACATTATGTCTTTACTGTCACTTTTGAGCAATTTAATGCAGCCTTGATGAATAAAATTATTTTCATTTTTTCTTTTAATCTTGCTGACCCCAAACTTTTGAATGATAGTGTATCATGTTTTTCACAAAAAAGTTATAATATTTCACAATATCACTGCATGCAGCCTTGATAAGCAGAAGAGACTTCTTTCAAAAACTCTGAAAATATAAACCAAAACTGGTTAACATTATCAAATAACCTGCACAGAAAACGTTTCTGTTTGATAAAAGTTCGGTTTGTTTTCTATGAAGTAATGTTCACCAGTGAGTCGTTCTCAACAGGACCAAGAGGCTGAGTTTTCTCTCGTGTTGACGGTCTGTTTGTTATTTCCAGGGTCAGGATGAAGTTGAAGCTTCTGGTAGTTTTGCTGCTAAAATCTGGACCTACAGAGTTCTGCTGGAGCTCATCCACTGGACTGATTCTGCCTCTCAAACCCTTCACTTATTCCACAGCGAGAAGCACGGCCAGCAGCAGCAGCTCCTCTAGACGTGTCTTCCTGAACTAAACCCCTTATTCAATGGAGAATCAGTATGTTAGGCCAGGACCATGACCGCAGACGTCTAGAACTCAATCTGAGTGACGTGACGCTTGGATTAAATCAGGTCTTTAGTTTAGACCAAGCCGAGTTCAGTACTAAAAGAGAACCAAAATTAACAAGCAGAGTTTATTGTTGTTTGGTTTAAAGCTTGGTTACAAAAAACCCAAGCATCTCCGCATGAATAGTGTTTTGCCTAAAAAAAATCCTTTAAAAAATACATTTGCTTGTTTTCTGATGGGGAGTATATTGCTACGTTCAGATGAGTTTCTGCGACTCTGCGGTCTTGATATTGTGTGCGATTATAACAATATGCTGTGCTCTTGAGGTCTAATACGGTACGGCTCTTGTGTGAAATACATCACGGGCTTCACACACGCTTCAGCCTGAGTTACACGCGTGTCAAAAGAAACAAAGACATTTACCTGTAAAATCAGCAGAGACCTTCACTGTAGGAAGGGTCCTGCCATCATTTACTCTCACTCCAAACCCATGGGACGCTATTTTTACAGCACAAACATCACATTGTGAAGAATTTTCATGCCGTTCTAGTCCAAACAGTGAAAGCAGACTGAGAGCAGAAGCTGTCAAGCAACAAAATGCATCAAAAATAGTTGCATTTTGACTCGATAGATCTTAATGCATGTAACTATAAATGAGATTTGAGAGCTACGGCAGAAGAGCAGAGTTTATGTTCACTGTATGCTTTTACTGTAGTGTGAACGTTTCTAATTTTCTAAAACATTTCTCACCTTTGGTTTTCCATGGAAGAGATAGTCATGCAGGTGTTGAATGACATGAATGTCTGGACCACCGTTTCCGTCAGGGAATGTAAACATAAAAATAGTAACTGTGAGTTTTCTTTTTCCTTGCAATTCTGAGTTTTTATCTCATGATTATATTGCAATTATCTCAGAAAAGTCAGAATTTGCGAGATATGAATTCACAATTCTAAGAGAGAAGTCAGAATTGTGATGCAAAAAGTTGCAATTATTTTTTTTGTTGCAAGACGAAAACAAAAAGTAGAATTGGAAGATATAAATTCAGAACTGCAATAAAATTCAGAATTGCGAGATGTAAACTCAGAAAGTCAGAATTCAGAATTTATATCTTGCAATTCTAACTTTTTTCTCAGAATTGACAACAAAACAGAATTTAAAGGTATAAAAGTCAGAATTTCAAAAGAAACAAAGACATTTACCTGTAAAATCAGCAGAGACCTTCACTGTAGGAAGGGTCCTGCCATCATTTACTCTCACTCCAAACCCATGGGACGCTATTTTTACAGCACAAACATCACATTGTGAAGAATTTTCATGCCGTTCTAGTCCAAACAGTGAAAGCAGACTGAGAGCAGAAGCTGTCAAGCAACAAAATGCATCAAAAATAGTTGCATTTTGACTCGATAGATCTTAATGCATGTAACTATAAATGAGATTTGAGAGCTACGGCAGAAGAGCAGAGTTTATGTTCACTGTATGCTTTTACTGTAGTGTGAACGTTTCTAATTTTCTAAAACATTTCTCACCTTTGGTTTTCCATGGAAGAGATAGTCATGCAGGTGTTGAATGACATGAATGTCTGGACCACCGTTTCCGTCAGGGAATGTAAACATAAAAATAGTAACTGTGAGTTTTCTTTTTCCTTGCAATTCTGAGTTTTTATCTCATGATTATATTGCAATTATCTCAGAAAAGTCAGAATTTGCGAGATATGAATTCACAATTCTAAGAGAGAAGTCAGAATTGTGATGCAAAAAGTTGCAATTATTTTTTTTGTTGCAAGATGAAAACAAAAAGTAGAATTGGAAGATATAAATTCAGAACTGCAATAAAATTCAGAATTGCGAGATGTAAACTCAGAAAGTCAGAATTTATATCTTGCAATTCTAACTTTTTTCTCAGAATTGACAACAAAACAATTTAAAGGTATAAAAGTCAGAATTGCAAGAAAAATAGAAACCAAAAACAGAATTTTAAGGTATAAAAGTCAGAATTGCACGAAAAATAGAAACAAAAAACTGAATTTTAAGGTATAAAACTCAGAATTGCACGAAAAATAGAAACCAAAAACAGAATTTTAAGGTATAAAAGTCAGAATTGCACGAAAAATAGAAATATAAAACTGAATTTCAAGGTATAAAACTCAGAATTGCGAGAAAAAAGTCGGAATTGCAAGATGTAAACTTGAAAAAAGTAAGAATTCTGAATTTATATCTTACAATTCTAACTTTTTTCTCAGAATTGCGAGAAGCAAGGTCTGAATTGTGAGTCAAAAAAAACCCTTTTATTATTATTATTAATTTCTTTTTTATTCCATAGCGGAAACAGGCTTCCATATGAATGAGTAAATGATGGCAGAGTTTTCTGACAGACAGACTGAGGTAGTGTTATTCTGATTGAACATATTCACATGTTACATTTAGGAGAAAGTACTGATCATTTGCATTCTAGTGTCATTTCACCCACAAACACTAACAAAGTTTGACGTTTACAAATTTTCAAGTTATATATGTGTGCTCCACACACACACACACACACACACACACTCTCACACACACACACACACACACTC